CAATGTAATTACAAAGTACATAATGTAGTTTTCTGTATTTTAAAAGTTCTAACACGAGGCATTGATTTTTGGGAGGGGAAATTGAATATAAAAATAAAAAAAAAAATCGCGAAAAAAATCTCTCAAAAAGTGGGACAGGAACACCCTCCTCGTGTTACGTGCCTGGTGTATGTGGAATTGAACAATTAACCTACCTTTCAGTAACTTGTCTGAAGTAATTTTTTTAAAAGATGATCTTTCTGATAAAATATAATGTCACTTATTGTATGCATAATCGGATTAAAAAAAATTACCTACATCTCCTCTCATATGGAATGATTCGTTCTTTGCAGATAATATCGCAATATATATCCGCAATATGCAATGTATTGTACAACCTTGCTAAATAGAAATCAGGATTGAATTTGCGAGTTGCTCAAGTCAGACATTTCTATTACCTCTGTGTAAGTTCTTCCTTCCCAGAAAACAAATTTTGAAATGATAACAAGTCCGCGATCATGATTTTAATGTTTAATTAAATATTTAATGTACCTAGGTAACCTCAGTTAAATCAGAAAATTAATTAAGCTTTAACTGTTAGTTTACTTTTGTGCAACCGGTTTTAATCGCCGTTAAATTTAACGTCGGGTTAACGCAAAGTTAACGGCCAGTTAAATGTAACTAACGTTCGTGCAACCGGATCCTGGACTTTAATTTATCGTGGGGAATAGTTACATGAAGTGTAGAAAAGTCGTAAGTTTTGATGTCATTGATTTTGTTAAAAATTTTTGATTTCAAATCTTCGAAAAGTTCCTTGGAGATTTTTTTTAAAGTATCCACATCTGATTTACACCACTTCTCGGATATACTGTTCTACAGTACTCCTGAAGTTTCTCCTTAACCGCTGTAAATATTTTAATGAGGAGTCAAGAAAGAGGTTTGGTAGAACATTTACTGGAACCCGCTATGTATCTTTGGAAGGATTTTTATGGAGTTTTGGTATCCAGTATAGGTATGGTAATTGAAATTCATTTTGATTGTTGGGAATATTAAAAATATTTAAAACTGAGACATCTTTTAAAAATTGTTTGGTTGCTCTCTCCCGACCGACTGGCTAGTATTTTTTTTTTGTATTCAGGAAAATAGATCTTTAAAATTTAGAACTGAAATTTTCTGAGAGAAAAAAATTTTCTCACCTACCTACCGACCCATTTCTTTCATCCTGAGTCGGGAGAGGGCAAATAAACATTATTTTAAAGTTGGCCTGACATATGGTTCTGAAGAATTTCCTGCTTAAAAAGGAAGCTATGGGTATAAGTTGGATTACCATTTGCAGAATTATATCCGAGTTCCTCTAAAATACAATTCAAATATTTAGCCTTAACCTTTAGCTTCAAGACAATGTTGTTACCTGCTCTGTCAGTGAGGACTAGTACCATACTGATAGTGTAATCTATTTAATTCTTGTTTCACTTCTGTATTGTCGAAGACAGAAGGAAAATGGTTTTCATATTGCCCCTTAATCAAGCCAATCTTCTGACGTAATCTTTTACTGAATTCATAATATTTATGAAATTATGACGCCAGTTTCTTATGCCAGGATTCTTTAAATTTCCCTTCCCCTATATTTCAACGTCAGATGTGCCACAATCAACTTTCTGTAAGATAAAGTATTACCCTCACATCATTCATGAACATTAGAAGACGTTCATTCCTCCGTGTCTGTTTTTTTAATTGTTTAAATATCTTGTAATCATAATATATAATTTCGTGCTGTAACTGAGCATTTAAAAGTCAGATTTAGTGGCAGATGCATTTATTCAATAGAATATTTTAAAATAGGCATTATCTTATAAAGAAATACAAAATATTAGATACAAAACAATCTTATAGATATTTGATATTTCAAGTACATAGACCTATGACAATAACCTTTAGCACAGTATACGTTAAAATGAGAGGAAAAAAGAGAAAAATATGTACTGTTTACAAACTGACTTATGAATTTTACAACAGAGAAAGATCAACTTCAACTGCAAAAATACAATAAAATATAAACTTTGCAGTTTAAATGAAATAAGATTTACATGAACATTAAAGTAATGTAACATATAAGTATTATATGAATATTACATAATATAAGATGCAACTGATGCTGAGGAGATTGAATTGATTATCATAGAATAGAATATTTATTCCACCAATTTCGGCCCACAGTGGAGCATAAAGATGAACAATGTCCGATTTCAGTCTGTTGGAATTGAAATTGCCAATGAAATGATGGAAAAACAATTCAGTCCAATATATATATATATATATATATATATATATATATATATATATATATATATATATATATATATATATATAGGTTCATAGATTTTTAAGATTTTGTTTATGTATTTAATAAAACGAAAAAATGGGGTTAAGATCTAAAAACAAAAACATACAAAAATATCATAAATAAATTATTTGTACCATCACATTTGGCCGTTTTATAATATCGGTGTAACAATGGGTGTAATATGTAATAAAACTTTGTGCCTGAGTCATATATAAAATTTAGAAATTCTTCAAGATCGCTTCAACTAGTCTCCATTGAGTTTTATTGAAGCAGTGAATGTGACTAAACTTTTGACACTGTGTAATGTATAATGGTCATTCAATACATGAAAAGGTCTTAAGTTGTAAGATAATTACAGATTTGAAAATATCTTGAGTCATTTACTTTACCTTTAAAAAGAGTGTATAATTTTGTGCAATAGCTGGCTTGAAAGAACAGGACATGGCTATACTTCCAGCACAAAGAATACATGTTCAGCAGAACGACATGATAGGGTGGTAAGTATCCAGCTCTGAATGTACATTCCGCAGAAACAGTTTATTTTTGTTTATTTCATTTGTATACTGTGTTCAAGTATATTACAACATTGAAAAAAAAATATACGTGTACTCGTAAAAAAAATCAAATTACATTAAGAATGTAAGTAAATTTTGCTAATTCATAAGAATATACATACAAACTTTTTTTCATATATTCATATCGAATACTAGTATTTTTAACCATACAGTGCGTCTTCTTGAAAAAAAGGTCTATATTATATTACATTTGAATAAGACACGGCTGCATCAATTGAAGAACATGCAGCATTGTTACTTCTGTTTTTCAGGTATTCCCCTGTTGACGAGGTGATCCCTTATAAATCGGAGGGAAGTGGATCGACGATTATACAGGATAACATGGCGATTGTGTCGGTCGGAGGAGTGTTTGATTGGAGTGCGGGGACACACGTCCAAAAGAGAACATATGCCATTAAAGCTCTGTTGGCACCAGGTTGTATCTGCTTTTCTGCACATAATGTTCAGCTGTATCATAAATGGGGGGAAATATTTAGATACTGCAGTGGACCCAATGTTGAAATATTATTCCAGCTTATGTAAAATTCAAATTTTATATCATTGAAATTTTGAGACACGTAATATTAATTTCATTATTATTCTATAGTAAGCATTATAAGTCTCCTGAGTAACTCAGGTGACCTATTGCTATAGGATTTTGTTTGTCGTCGTCCATCGTCCGCCGTGAGTTGTTCGAAATTTTTTTTCAGCATTTCAGCATCTCTTGTACCACTGAACCAATTTTGGATGTAGCATCTAGGAATAAAGGATAACACATGGTATCTAGGGGTGGGGCCAAAGCAATCAAATTAATGCAAACTTCAATGCAAACTTCAAAAAACTTTTCTTTACTATTAGGCATCACGCTGACAAACTGTTGGCATGATTATAACAAGCAATAAGCCCTCTACAAGATGTTGTGAAATTTATTGCCCCTAGGTACAGGCTCCAGGTGGGACTATGTTGTACATTCATTGAAAATGCATTATATCTTATAAAATCTTTACTCATGGAGATTAAGAAAGGGAAACTTCTTGCTTGATTATTAGGACCATTCAACATTTTACCATAAAGTGCGAAATTCATGCCCTGGCCCTTAAACCTATATCAAAATTATGAAATTTATGATCCCCAGATCCATATTGCTCAGGCCCCAGAATGGGGCTAAATTGTTCTTATATTGAAATATCATTTTATCTTGAACATTTTCTTCAATTCTTAATGATATCTAGAATGTAAATGGGTAAACTGACTATATGACTATATTAAAAAAGTATTACTGGTCATATATTGATAATACAATGCACCTTTGAAAATTTTCTTATTTACTGGTCATGGACATCTGGCAAACAAACTATTTTGCATGATTATAATTAGCACTAAGCCCTCGATCAAAGGTGTAAAATTAATGGCCCCATGGCCAGGCTCCGGGGTGGGACTGAGCTGGTCATATATTGCAAGTGAATCACACCTTTAAAAAACGCCAGTGCTCATGGACATGTATCAGGCAAATTGTTGGTATGATTAAAATGAGTAACTAGCTCTCGACACAAATTATAAAATTTGTGTCCCCAGGAGCAGGTCCCAATGTGGGGCTAAGTTGGTCATATGTTATTGAGAGAAACCATATATAGTTTATTATATATTGTAACTTATCTTCTTTACTTCTGAATTTCTGGGAGACAAGTCGTATGAATATGATAATGATTATGGAGTCCTCACTAAACTGTAAATTTTTTAACACATAAGTCCGGACCAGTTCCAGGTGGGCCCAAAGTAGTCATAGCCTGAAAAATTCATGGTATGCGGTGACCTTCAAGACCAATGGGTCCCTTTTCCCTATTTTTTCACAAACGAAATCATGAAATATATATGTATACGAAATTTGAACCCCTGACAATTCGAAGACATGCATTATTTTCCTCGTATACAAAAATTATGGTTTAAGAATCTGAAACAATTGGAAAATAACATTCTTTGTAGCTGCTATTCTCTAAATCAAAAATGAAGAAAAAAATTCATTATACATTGTATACACATGTTACCTGCCTTCTACTTTCCCTCACAGATAACTATGCAAAATTGTTTTCTGTAATCTTTTGCGTTAACTTTTGTTTACCAGGCAGTAATCCAGTCATGACCACATTTCCAGTCTCTGTGACCTTCAGTCACATGACCTCTATCGGGACTACGGTGTACATTCCTGTCATATCAGGAAAGGACGAGACCACCACATACATATTTACACTTAGTGGAGCAGGATCATTTGTAATCGACTCTGGATCTGGTAAGTGTAGATTTTTACTACATTTGAAGGCACTACTATGATTCTAAAGAACAAGAAATGAAATATGGAGATAATGAACATTTTTCAAGCTGAAAGTCCATTTTGACAATACAAATCGGGAGCAGAGCAAACACGGACCTTCAAAAACACCAAAGGTGGGATCAGGTGCCATGGAGGAGTGAGCATCCCCTGCAGACCAGTCACACCCGCCGTGTGCCCCTTGTCATGTTTTGGTAAAAACGGAAAAATCCGTAGACAACTCAGTGTGTAAATAATGGCCCAACAATTAACATGAAAAAAAGTCAGTCAGCATTTGACTCAATGACAGGTTGTTTTTGCTGACAAGTTCATTGTATCGACCATACAACTTGCAAAATGATGACTTCAAACGAGACCGTTGATATCCTTGTTTCAACAACTTGTTTGTCAATAGCTTGCCTCGTTTTAGAAATTGTTCATACGTAGAACCTGCTCTTGCGTAACGAATCAACTGGGAGACATAAACCCTATATGCAGGTGATAAGGGTATATTGCTACATAAGTAAAGAAAGTTGGCGATTGAAAAAATTGAAGTCATCACGTTTATCATAAAGCTTTATTGTCAGGTTACCATTAAAGTCTTTTTCCAGTAAAATATCCAAATATGACTCTGTGGTGTCTTTTATTTCAAGCTCACTAGGATATATCGAGTCGACATATGAATGGAAGTAACTATTGTTAATTAATAATTCGTCGTCGATATTTCTAAATGTCGAGTTGAAGGTCACAGCAAGTGTTTTTTTCTTCTCATGTAGAAGTTTTTGAATAAATTCTGCTTCATATGATTACAAAAGTAGGTCTGCTAACAAGGGGGTGCAATTGGTACCCATGGGAATTCCAACAGATTGTTGAAAGACATAATCTCCAAATGTAGAACATGTCTTTTAATGTGATCATTAAGGGCATTAGGGGATAAATAGCATTGTTTATTTTCAATATTATCTCATGTTAACATAAAGAATCTTTAGCAATATTTTCTCAAAGTTCTGAAAAATGAAGTAAGCTGTGCTCTGAAAAAAATCAAGCAAGATTTTTTTGATGGGGAATTAAGGGTCGTACATATATATATATAAAAATTTAGATTGCATGATAACTTACCAAACGCTTATAAATGTCATTAAAAAGTATCATTAAAGCATTTAAAGGTATAACTGCTCATGTTCAAATTGGAGATTGACAAAGTTCAAATTCAAAGAAGCATTTTAAATAAAGTTTCAAAATTATGAACTGAAAGTTGAGTGTAATTTCAGTTATTCAAATTAATCGATATGAATGGGCTTATTATTTCATCAATGATACATGTACATGCTCAGTATATACTGTATGTGTACTTGAAGAAGTGGGCTTCATATTTTAGCGGCTTTGGCATAGACAACGATGCGCTAATTTATGAATACCGCTAAGAAATCATTTATAAATACAATATACGGTACGGACATGTATAGCGCGAATAAATGATTTCGCCAATAACTCCATAACCAGTAATTGCGCTAAATTTTGAATACACCAATTTAAGTACACGTACAGTAATTATTCTGCTGAAGTAACTTATCACATTCCTCTTTTGTCACAAGGAAACATAACCACATCCTCTTCAGTGACAGTGGGTACTTATAGTCTTTCTGTAACCGTTACGGACGCCTGTGGAAGATCTCAGACCCAGACCCTCAATGCCATATTCACAAACACGGTAACTTGTTTCATACCACTAAAACAGTATTCTTATACATCTCTAAATCCTTCTTTTGCTTTTATTCATATTTATAATAGCTAGAGTACTCCTTTTGCCACTGAAATAAGGGGACACTTTGTGTGTTTTGTAGAATGTTTGACAGTTAATGTAGTAGAAAGATTGAAATTGATGTCTAAAAGTACATTTATCTTGTAGACCAATTTTTCATTAATTTGAATTAGGCTCCAGCTATATCTGGTCTTCCATACAGCGCTGACCTTCAGGAGACTACCGTCCTTGAAAACTCTCTTCATTCAATCAGCATAGAAGATGGTGACGGCGACTCTTATACGTGCATGTTGGAAAACACCTTTCCTTCATCAGGAAATTTCTTTTTAAAAGCTAATTATTCCAATGGACTTGGTAATGTACTTTATATTCTTTTTCTGATCTTTGAACGAGTATTTTGCAACCAAGAAATTCAATTGGTTCGAAATTTACTAGTATATAGTTAAATTGCTAACGTTCATCGAGTCACAAAAAGAAAACACGAATAATTTTGCAGTGCTTATGGTTTAATAAGACGATTGTCCTGAAGGAATGTATAAAGTTGCTTCTTTCATAACTTAACAACAAGCTAAGGACTTTTATTTCTCCAGGTTATGACATACTCTCCAAAAGCAGTCCAGTTTTGTCCTACGCCTCTACTAACACATACACACTGAATATCAGCTGTTTTGATGGTATCGACACATCGTATGGAACGTTTACAGTTTATATCATACAGAATGTAGCGCCTTCATTCACCAATCTGCCATGTAAGGGAATAAATGAAATTATTTATTCAAATAAATAAAATAAAAATAAAAGGACTACCTCATTCAAAAATCTACATACAGATTAAATTGGTAAAGAGAATATTATACTGATTCTACCTGGTTGAGAAAGTGTTTTTATTTTTCTAGATTCACTAATATTGTCCGCAAAGTCAACAGCTATAGGAACCTCTGTGTATCAAGTCCAAACTGCTGATCCAGACAGCAATAATCTGGCAACAAGCAGCACTTGCTCGCCCTTTCCATGTCCCTTCTCTGTTGCCAGTGGTAGGGAAAATGCAGTAAAACAAATATTAAGAGAACATGCTTATAGCGAATAAACACTTATGATGAAGTCATAGATGAACAAAAGCTTAAAATGCTAAATGTATTTATAGCTTAAGCACAGAAGATACACAATGTACTAATAATCAATTTTGCCTGTAATTTAACGATTCGACATAAAAAGTTTTCCTTAAGTACGGTGTATATAGTTGGAACTAACATAAGGACAATATAGAGGAAAGTATTTGCTTGCTGAATACAATATGTATATAAGTATTTTTAACTGTTGAAGATGGTACAGTGACGAGCGTCACGGATCTACGGACGGAGACAACCGTGGCGTATACCTTACAGTTCTCCGTTAATGACAGCTTGATTACAACTGGTCCCGGTGTCTTAACAATCACATTGACAGGTACATAGATTCACTTAATAAAATTCCTCGAATTTCCTCAAAGTAAAACATTACAGACTGTGAGTAATATTTCACATTGAAATGGTCGACTGAATAATTTATGGAAAATTTTCAGTAGTTTTTATAATTTTAATTTTAAAAATATTGTAATATTTGAATCCTTTTCTAGATTTGAATACAGCACCTACCTTTCAGAACTTACCAAAAACAGTGTATGTAAGTGAGCATATCTCGGAATCCTCTGTAATTTATCAGATTTCAGCGAAAGACTTAGATGTTTCTGATGTATTATCAACGACATTTACAATTCAGCCACCCGATGGGACACTATTGTTTGATATCAACGCCACTGGTATGTATATAGATTATTTCTTCTTATAAGTATTAATTTACTAGACTGAGATTATAAAACAAAAACCATTTACAAGGAAGTCTTCAAATTTTAATTCGAAAAGGGTATTTTAGCACAAAAAAGTAACTTAAGCTGAGATATACCCTTTTTTAAAACTTGAAATAAAATTGCAACAGACCCTTACTTAGCATTTTTTTTTATAAATTTCATTTAGATTTGACAATCAGGCGAAACAGTGGAGAATCTTTCAACTTTGAGTCTCTATCTGCATATAATTTTACCATTTCTGTGACTATAAGTGATGGGATATTCAGTGCGACTTCAAATCTGATGATATCAATACTTGATGTTAACGATCCTCCCAGCTTTGACCAAAACATTTATTATGTTACCTGTAACGAGGGGCAGGTAAAAGATACAGTTAGATGGGGAAAACTATTGTAAAGAAAATTAACATTCCTTATATTCACTATCCATGTTTCTCTAAATATCTACATTTACACATGTTTGATTTTTTTTTATTTTTGAAGAAAGGTTCATTACTTCCGGCCTTGGGATTTACAGTATATGATGAGGACATTAGCGACTCCTTTACATATGGGATTACAGACGGATCAAACTTTGTCATCAATTCTTCTACCGGAATTATTTCCTTTGCCATAGATATTGAAGTGACTTCAAACACTTCCTTCAATTTAACTGTCCAGGTAACAGACACAGGTGGGTTGTCTGACACCTGTATCGTGATGATCACAATCCAGAATGTCAACAGGAAGCCGTATTTTACGAACTTACCTCAAACAGTTACTGTACCCGAAAATACAGCTTCCGGATCCTCTTTGTTCTTGTTGGGGCTAATTGATGAAGACCTGATATCTACTACTGTGTCCTACACAATCTCCCCAGTGTTGTCTTCTAATCTGTTTTTCTACAATGATTCAGGTATATCTACTAGTATTAGACATGTATAAGCACGGTTTCCACAAAATACAGTCTAGTTAGATATTTTATGGGGAAAATCTTGTGATTATATTATGTACATGTATATATTCATCAAATTTTTCTCCTTTTCATCAGAAAGGAGACTTTATCAAGCAAATGGATTTTACTTTGACTATGAAGGAACCAATGTTTACAACATTACCTTTGAAGCCAACGACGGAACAGAGATCTCGGACCCAGCAATTCTGTATATAGATATCACCGATGTGAACGAACCTCCAACATTTCAGTCACCATTTTATTATTTAACATTCAACGAAAACAAGGTACATGTATATATCTCTTATTATATAAATATTGCATGTAGTTGAATGTAACATTGAAAATTTTCACCTTAAGAAAACCATTGTCAACCGAGGCGCAGCCGAGGTTGACAATGGTTTTCGAGGGGTGAAAATTTTCAATGTTACACTCAACTACATGCAATATTTATTATATTATACTGAATGTTTTATACAAATACATTTTACAGTGAACCTTGCGCGCATAATTTCTGCGCAGTCAATATTTTTTTGGAATATCACCCGTCGTCAAGCAATGTTGACTGTTGCTACGCTGGAGGGCGTGGCTTCATTATTCAGTGGGTAATAGTGTTTTTTAACAAATGTTCCTCGACGAATCAGATTTAACTAATTTACATGAAAGTATAATATTCTAATATATTTTTATAAAGTGATTTAAAAAGCTTTAATATTTAACTAAACACTTTGCTCTTAGTCAAATAAAATTATAAAATGAAATCGGAAAAGCCAATTCTCTTCACTGTCATACCTAAAAGATTATTTTAAAAAAAATCCGAATTTAATCTTTCATGTTTTAAGTTGTATCTCAAAGTTTATTTAAGATGAAATAATTTGGTTAACCATATTTCAGATTGGATATGCACTCCCAAACATAGCGTATAACGTTACTGATCCAGATGCAGGTGACATTGTAATCTTTAGTCTAATAGACGGCCATTTCGTGACAAAAATAGGAATAAACTCCGGTACTGGTCAGATGCACCTGACAGCAGACATTCTAGTGGATAGCACTCTTACAACTAACCTCTCAATACAAGCCACAGACTTAAACGGTCTATCATCCACGGCTACCATTGAAATAACAGTTTATAACGTGAATAATGCACCTTATTTTACAAATCTACCTTTCACTATCAATACAGATGAGAACATTTCGTCTGGAAGTGTTATATATGACGTCACTGCACGAGACGATGATGTAGGGGATGTTTGTTCTTGTAGCGGTACTTTTTTACCGTCTGCTGCCGCTACATTACTGCACTTTGATTCTGCAGGTAATTCAAAATCATTTTTTTACTAGATAGCCTTTGTGAAGGAGGTCCTATGTAACAAAGAATACAATAATTGACATTTAGTCTTACTCAGAATAAAATATAATAAAGTTCTCCACATACTTCTTGTCACTTCACAATTCTTATTGGGGGGGGGGGGTTCGTCCATCCTGTCCTTCTTTCTACAAAACTTTGACATTTAACTTTACCTTTGAACCACCTTAGGTAAACTCTTCAAGTCTGGCAAGCGTTCAACTATTAATGCTCTTGGAAAATACTCAGGCTAAAGACCCTATGTTCATCTGGTTATCTTTACTCATATACATGTACATGTATTAATGAATAATACCCGATTGGCATTCCTTCATCTTAGTAAGATGACAGGCAAAGAAAATATTTAAGTGTTGTATGCTTACGCATTGACAGTACTAAACAACATTTATACTTCGTTTTCTTGGCTGGGATTAGAATTGGCAATTCAATATGCAAAAATGTACATTTTACAGGCAATATGACCGATGCCTCAAGAAACTATATCTGAATTACCCCGGTATTAATTCTTTCTTAGGACTAGGAGTGAACTAAATTTAGCGAAGTTTATTAAACCATATATATTATATATCTCATGTGTAAAAAAAAAAATGATTTGTTCAATTCTCTATCATACTCTGCGTTTATGGCCTTTGAGTACTGAGGGTTCTTTTACGTGCCATACGGACACTGCTGTGAATGAGCAATAACTTTACAGATTTTTAATATATGGTCTGTGATAAATATAAAGAAAGTTGTCTAACCATACTTACACGTATGCATTTACTAACGCTGTTCCAGAAAATAGTATATTCTTTGTACAGGAACGATTTTTCACATCACAACTTGACCACATTTGAGGGCATTTGTGTTAAAATAAACACTTTTTGTTTTTATTGCACATGATCTTAACGTGCGACTAATTTACATAATTTATCCATAATTTTCCAATGTACTTGTCATCTTTAAATGTGATATAAAGAATACTGAATTAAAACAAAAGACGAAAGTCATAATAATACTTAGATTGTTTTTAAAATTATTTTTAGTACATTAAAATAAATCAGTGGATATTTGGATTACTTTCAGATCAAAAAATAAAACTGCGAGACAATGCAACATTGAATCACCAGCTTTTCAGTAACGTAATCGTGACTGTTAATGCTTGGGATTTGACGGGCGCTACATCAACATCAAACCTTACACTCCACATCGTCAACATCAATGAGGCTCCCCAATTTTCTTCGAATATTTATTATGGAGATGTAAACGACGGAACGGTGATATTTATTTCTTTTTTTCATCTGCAGAGTGTGGTGGACACAAAAGTATCACTATTTCCACCTTATATTTAGGGGTTAAGGATAAAATTTTAGTAAAATGCCATACACATATACTGGCGATGTATGTGTTCCAAGATCCCTTTAATTTATCAAAAGTTTTTAATTCAAACTAGATTGACTTAATCAGATCATTTGGTCCATCGCATAAATTGCTACACAACAAATCTAACAGCGTCTCATTTGGGTTCCTCTCGGACCCTTTAAATACATGTAACCATTCAGCTCATCGTTTTCTCAACATTCGATTTGTCTATTCAGAATGTAGATCTAGTACTTGTGTTGACTAAGGCACTCTTAGAAAGTTGTATATTGTGTGGAAAAAATATATGCTGTTTTGTTCCAGTATGTTCATATTTCTTTTCTTCTTCTAACCTTTTCAAAGAGTACTTGACCTGTATCTTGTAAATCTAAAAGTCAGTAAGATTAAAAAAGTCAGGTAAGTGACATGCTCTAATTTTGGAAGTTATATTTAACAGTTGGGATCACCTGTCACAGCCTCAATATCAGCAGTAGACCCAGATATAACAGATGTCCTTACTTTTAGTTTAATCAGTCAGAGTGTCAGTGGAATATTTAACATAAACACTAGCTCCGGAATACTTTATACAGCAGTGAGTGATACCTATTCCAAGTCAAATGGAAACTGCACTCTTGTTGTTCAAGTGGAGGACCAGTATGGTGCGTACGATCAGACAATATTAATTATTAATATTCATCATGTAAATACAAAACCAGAAATTGTTAATTTTACTGGAATTTTGTATGTGTCGGAGGCACTTCCTACTGGCTCCTTGTTGACCATTTACTCCATCATCGATCCCGATACGAATGACGTCATTACAGAGAGAATAACTTTGGCGCATGCGTCAGCTGAAAACAAGTTCCTGTTTAATATTTCAAGTATGTAAACGAAAGCTATCAAAATGAATGTTTTAGTTCAAGCATATTTTATTTTTTATTAGAATATGGATTATCCTTTTAATTTTACAGATCGACAACTTTACATCTACTTGAAGGATCTTGTGGACTTTGAGTCGGAGAGCTCTTACAATCTCACATTCATTTTAAATGATGGTTATAACGATTCTCCTTTGTATGAGCTGATGATAGCCGTGGCAGATGTGAACGAATCTCCATATGTACAATACAGTATTAATCACGTGTCATTAAAAGAAAACATAGTAAGAGTGCTAAATCTCATTTTGCATATCAATAAATTGTAGACTGGAATTTGTGATTTTCTAGATACTTTGTATATCTATAAAAAGGTTTTTACTATTAACTGAGGTTATTAAACCATTTATGTTTTATATCTATTTTCCTTTTTTCGTAAAGCTTTGTAAACGCTCTTGCTTTCAGAGTGGAACTTTGCTGGATTTAAACATTACCGTCTCCGATCCCGACATTGGTGATACTGTCACATGCATTATATTAAGTGGAAACGACAACCAATACTTCAGCATTCATCCTACTACGTGTACAATGTCTCTGACCAAAGACTACGATATTGATTCGGGACTGCCCTCATCGCATTCCTTAATAATTAAAATTATTGACAACAAAGGTCTTTTCACAACAACGACAGTTAACATTGACGTTGTTGATGTCAATGATAACGCCCCCCGCTTTGAATGGCCTGAATATGTTACTTTCATCTCTTCAGACTCCTTAATCGGTCATCAGCTACTGACTCTTAATGTAAGTGATGGCGATAGTGGCCTAAATGCCAAACTGACGTGCCAAATGGACATCAACCATTTTACTAGTCTTTTTGTCGTTTCGACAGACTGTATCCTTTACCAAAGTGAAAGTTTAAATGGAATGGCTGAGGGGACTGAAGTCAATTTTACCACAGTTGTAAAAGATGCAGGATCGCCGTCTTTATCAGCATCTGCATTGGTCCGTGTTATTGTCCAAGGTACAGCAAATACTGTGGCACCTCAGGCAAGCGCTACATACCAAGTGACCAACAATTCCGACGGCATAGACTTCTCCGATTGGCGAGTTTTAGCGGGATGTGGCATTATTGGTCTCGTATGTCTTCTGGCAATAGTAAATTCCATCATTTTAATCCGAAGAGGATGTAGTAAAAAGCCAAATCTTGAAAAGGGTCACTCAAGTTTTGCAAAGGAGGAGGGGTAATTTGCAAAGACTATTGAGAATATTTTACAACTTTAGCATAGTGATGATTTTCAATGTCATTTACGATTTCACTCTGTTTTCAGTACAGTACAGAAAGAGGAGAGAAAGCACGATTCATTTGAGAATAAGAAGCCAGTGTACAGTCGAAGTAGCTCTCAAAATTCCGTCATTAAAGCTAGGTAAATTTGGGGAAAAAACAGTAAATCCTTCCCTCACTGCTTTCACCAATCAGTTTAACGCACCGTAAACTTTGTATTTTCACCAACTCAGTCAATCAATGATATTTGCAGTATGCTTCAATATGTCATACTTATATTAATAAAATACCAGCAGGGTTTTTTTTTTTAGAATGTTCAGTTTTCTTTTAATGACTGTTGTATAATCTATTAATAGGAGGACGTCTTCATTGCCTCTAACAACTCCAAAAATGGAAACCATATCTGGTAATTAATAGAACAACGTTTTCAAATATTGAGAAGTAATTTCCGAAAAACAGCACCGACCTTTTCATTATTTTCCTTTACACAGATTTTTTAAAAATTTTACTTTCGATTTGTTCTCTTTCAGCGATAAGAACAGATATACATCTAATCAGCCCAACGTATTGTTATTGAAAATAGAGTCTTCAGTTGTAGATTATACTTCAAACTGATAATTGTCATCATTAATACAGCTTTATTTCCATGTTTATCAGAAAATCATTAATTAAAATTGAATGCCTTAGCCTGTTGGCTCTGTGTAGGTTACCTCCGAGGATGGATGAACATAGGATAAAATTATTTATAACCCCACCCCACCCCCCACCCCCCGCTTGGAAAGAGGGCATTTATAGTGATGGGGTGTCCGTCCGTACATTACACTTGGGGGTAGCAATCCCCAATTCGCAACGCCTCTCACACCACTGAATGCAATTTAATGAAATTTTTACGAAATCTTTATTACATTGTGCATCTCCTATTTTACGATACACATTTAAGATTCCCATAGCAAAAAAAAAACAAAACAAAACAAAACAAAAAACAAAAACATGTCACTGCTTTTTTTCTATTACATTGGGGGTGTCCCTCTCTTATCGGCATATCCTCAAATACCACTGAATAAAATTTAATGAGACTTTCACAGAATCTTTATTACATAGTGTTATTGTGCAGTTCGTATTTTAAGTTTCGATCGGATAAATATTTGTTTTCTACAGCAAAAATGAACCTTGCTATTCTCATTACACTTGGGGGTCTTATCCGCAATTCATCTTAACCACTGAATGCAATTAAATGAATTTCTTTATGAAACCTTTACTAAATAGTGCCATTTTGCACCTCGTATTTTACGTTTCGATTGGAAAGAAATTTGTATTTCCTTGAGAAAATCATAGACTTTGCCGTTATATTCAATAAATTGGGTGGGCGCCCAAATTGTTATCGCAACTCCTCCAAAACCCCTACATATAATTCAATGGAAATTTCACACAATCTCATTTACATACTGACAAGAAATGCACTTTTCCATTATACTCATATGGGAGCGGGGGTATCATTTGTAAGACAGTGCTCACAGTACCTCTAGTTTATACAAAAGACTTCTATTTTTTTTTCAAGTATGGAACAAAAATTTTGAAGGCAAACCATATTTGAATCTATATTTAGTATTACTCAATAAATAGGGTATCCATTTTGTTAATGCAACGCCTGATAAATCCCTGCATGACATTCAATGGAACTGTCACAGAATTTCATTTGCATACTGACAAGAAAGCATTTTGTCATTATACTCATAGGGAGGGGGGGGGGTATCACTTTGTGAGATCAGTGCTCACAGTACCTCTACTTTATACTAAATACTGCTTCTAAAGTTTTTTTTCCAAGTACGGATTAAAAATTTTGAAGGCAAACCATGTTAGAATCTATTTTAAGTTTTATTTATCTGTATTTCAGAATATTTGAGGATGCACTGTTTTCTTTATCTGTAATTTCGGTAAAAAAGGGGCAACAAAATCTTTGTAGACGTCTTGTTCATTTTTTTCGGAGATGGTCTTCCCAAATATACATATGATAAAGTAATCCAACTTATATTGTCATTCTTTCATTAGATCATGTATATAAGATAAATTTTATATTTAGAATACAAAATGCTGGTTTGAAACATTGTAAAATTTTTGTGCTGTATAGAGAATGCTTTAGTTTAACTTGAAAGTATTGATAAACAATTCATGTACATTTTACAGTTTCCAGCGCACGATCTGAGGATCTCAACAGTACGCTGACTCCTACAGACGTATCTCTGAATGATTTCCCATCAAACTACAGTCAGACAAGCAGGTCTTCTTTTGCAAAGGAAGAAGACAAACACTTTTCAGCATTCTTTAAAAGCAGTCGTCGTATCAGCGATATAATGGGGCCCAAATCCAATTATGACTTTTTTTGATCTTGAGAAGTTGCAGACCCTTTGCCTCGGATGTTATCGTTCTTTGCTGAATATACTGAAGACAAAAATACCAATTTATCTTGTCATTATTTTCAATTAATATTTTTTTCTTTTTCTTTTTAATGCGTGTTCGTATGTTTTGACGTGTTCAACTGAAAGAGCAATAAAAAAGTTAATAAAACTGTAGTCTTTCGATTAGTACTACATACCAACATTACATGTATAGTGTATATACAAATGTATTTGTTTTGGCCGCTTTTGTGGATGAGTAAAGAGGTGATACATATGTGGCGTGCACGAATCCCGCTGCAGAGCCTTTGGATGAGACTGTAAAAACCGAGGTTGTGTCGCAGTAGTTGCTGGTGTGAAAAAAAATCCCCAAGTCCCCAGCTACTCAATGGTAAGTGCCGAGTACAGATCCAGATCAGATAAGGAGGCCTCATGTTTAATGTTGGAAATTAAAGTTTAGGTTACGACGTCAATAGCTATAATAACCATCCAAAACGTAAGCGTGGGATAAAAATTGGCGGGGGTGTAAAGTGATGGGGCTGTCCGGCCAACCGTCCGTTACGCTTTGGGGTACCCATCTCTAATCCGCTAGTCCTCTTATACCACTGAATGAAATTTAATGAGACTTTCATAAAATCTTTGTTACAGAGTGCCATTGTGACCTCCTATTTTACTTTTTGATCGGACACATATTTCGAGTGTCCAATATCAAAACATAGACACTGCTATTTTTTTAGGTCACCTGAGTCACTCAGGTGACCTATTGCTATCTCTTTTCGTCCGTCGTCGTGCGTCGTCCGTCGTTCGTCGGTCGTAAACTTTTGAACATTTTCAGCTTCTTCTCTGGAACCAGCAAACCAATTTCAACCAATTTTGGCATATAGCATCTATGGGTGAAGGGGAACAAAAATTGTGAAATTTGTGGCCCCTGCCCCCCTGGGGCCTGAGGGGTGGGGCCAAAACCATCAAAATTAATGCAATCTTTAAAAAATTCTTCTTTACTCTTGGACATCAAACTGTCAAACTGTGGGCATGATTATAACATATGATGGGTCCTTTACCAAAATTGTGAAATTCATGGCCCCTGGGTTCAGGGTTCAGGTTCCAGGGTGGGGCTAAGTTGGACATGTACAAAAACTCCCATATATCTTATAAAATCTACTTCTTTACCCATGGACAGCTAGTAAGCAATTTGTTTGCATGGTTTTGGTGAGTACTTAAATCTTTACTAGGACTATGAAATTCATGGCCCCTGGATATATGGTTCAGACCCCAAGGGGGGGCTAAGTTGGTCTTATGTTGAAGATATCAAATATAGTGAATTACATTGAAAATCCTACTGAAATATCTTAATATTCTTAATGTGTAATTTTTGAACCCTAGTAGAAGTTTTTTTTTTTTTCCATTATATGTATTATTTAATTATTTTTAAAAATTTACCTGAGTTTACAGTGAAAATAAATCCGGGAATGTAGTGGTTCGGTTCTCATTATACAGTTTTTCCTTGACGCATGCGCATTATTAAGCGTCTCGTCTAGAGAAAGCAAGGGAGATTGTCGTCAGATCGGTGAAAGTGTGCAAAATATAGATCTATATCTAACGCGTTTCAGATCAAGGTTTTGCGTAAAGAACGGTGGGTATGGGTTGTTACGGTTTTACAATCTTGATAAACAGCATTAAATGAAATACAACAAATATGTCCTATTTTCATGGTGTCATTCGATTCGTTGATAATGGCGTAGTTTGTGCACGAATGTTTCGTTTGTTCTCATCTGCATTTTATGTGAAGCAATAAATTCTTCTATATGTGTTAAATTATGCATCTTTTTCTGTTTTACGATAATCTGCTCTGAAATGGAAATAAAATTTGGATACATTCAGTTCGAATTATCTCTAAAATGAAGTGTTGTTATTGATGTTATTGTTATTGATGTGTGTATACGATGGAATTCGTCCCATGTAATTGCAAAATATTAGAATGAAGCGAAACTAGCTAATGGCAGTTTATGAGTCAAATCACTATGCTGCAACTTTTATGAGGATGCTAGAGTCGCAAGAAATGGCAGTTTAAACAATGTAAAAACTTTCACCAAAAAAGTGATCCATTGAGCTTCATGTGTACTGTTTATATATTGCTTTATTAATAAAACTGCAGAATCAGAGTTAACCAAAATTCATATATTGATTTAATATGTGTCTTTATTGATTTATTGTTCTAATCCTTTTCGCTATTTTTTTTTAAAATTTGAATTTATCATTTTTGTAATAGAGGTCTTGGGATAAAAATTGTAGATCTATAAAATTTTATTTTTACACCCTGCATGTATTGAATAGAGATGGGAATTGTATTGAGTCATTACCAATATTTCAAATGTTGTTTAACAGTTCAGTATAAATCATGACATTTCAAAATACAAGGGGGGGGGGGGGGGACTAAAGTATTTGCTTTAAGACTTGTGAAGAAGAAAGGAAAAGAAAGTGGTGTATGTTACTGTGGCAGAGCTATTTATTGTCATTGGAGTAAACCTTTCTGTGTCAATTGTATCATTAGTCCCATCACATTTGAATTCATATAGTAGTGATTTTTCCATTGGTGAAAGATAATTATATACCTCGTCAATTAAGGTATGTAATCTTAGTTGCTGAAGTATTTATAAAAGTAGATCTATATGATAAAAAAAAATGTGATGAAAAGGTGGTGTTTCAGGTTTCCTCGGTATTGATTATAAGGCCAAAAAAAAAAAATAATAGTCTTGTTTCCTGCTACCAGCCTGAAAAATATAGGGTAGGTAGGTAGGAAAATTATTTCATTTTTATATTTTTATTTAATTTCTTTCCAACAGCATTTTTGGATATGAACTAATACAAGATAAAGTTAAACATGTCACAGGTCAATGATATTATTGTCTTTTAAAATTAAATTTCAAGTCTTTTTATGAACAGTGGTATTTTATGAAAGTCCATAACTAAAACAAGAATTTCATGAAGTGCTTGTTTTGTGTTAACATGGAAACCAATTACGGTGACAGAATGATGAAATTCCGGAAATTCCCGATTTTTTTTTCTTCCAAAACTTAAAAAAAAACTTTAGGGTCAGGTGCAAAAAAAATAGGGTAGGTCGGGTAGCAGGAAACAAGACTATTATTTTTTTTGGCCTAATTTTGTTATAATAATAAGAAGTACTTTTTATTTTAGTTACTGTGTTCATATTTTCCTAAAATATTGCCATTTTACGTTTATAGGCATTCTTGATATTGAGCTTCCATGTACTAAGATAAATTTTTTTTATACGCCCATCTTGAGACAGGATAAATTATGATATCATTCATGTCTGTCTGTCAGCTTTTTCTTGTCTGGCTCATGAGTTAAATAGTCTGAGGCCTAGAATAATCAAAGTTTGTCAACTGATAAATCTTAGGTAGAAGATGTGTTGCAAACTAAAAATCACATTAGATGTCAAAAGAGCAATAGATTAGCAAAATACTTTTTGATTACTTTGCTGAAAAGCAAAATCTGCATTGATTTGAAAATCAGGGAGTAAATACACTTTGCGGTAAAAAAATCATCTGGAGCTCTGCACTCGCGCTTTTTAAACACCCCTCCTCAAACGAAGTTGGGGGGGGGGGGGTATATAGGAATCACCTTGTCCGTTTGTCTGTGCAAACCTGTCTGGTCGATATCTTTTGCGGAAGAACATTAGAATAAATTTACTTCACACAAAGATTGTTCATGACCTGAGGGTTTGTCATGACCTTGACCCAAGGTCATTTGGACAAGTTCAAGGTCACTGAAAGAAAAAGTTCATAATTTGTGTCTGGTCCATATCTTTCTTCTTGATATACTTGGTGAGTTCCCATTTTACACAAAGATTGCTTATGACCTGAAGGTGTGTCATGACCATGACCCAAGGTCATTTGGACAAGTTCAAGGTCACTGAAAGAAAAAGTTCATAATTTGTGTCCGGTCCATATCTTTCTTATGGATAAACTTGGAGAGTTCCCATTTTACAGAAAGATTGTTCATGACCTGAGGGTTTGTCATGACCTTGACCCAAGGTCATTTGTGCAAGTTCAAGGTCACTGACAGATAAAGCTCATAATTCATATCGGTCCATATCTTATGGAGAATAATGTTGGGAGTTTCCACTTAACACAAAGATTGCTTATGACCTGAGGGTGTGTCATGATCTTCACCTATAGTCACTGTGGAAAAAAAAATTGGATAAATAATGCATCTATACTTTCCAGTAGAGAAATACTTGAAAAATTGTTATTTATTTTTTCAATTTAGTAAAAAACAATGTTATTATTAGCATTGATGTTTTATTAGGCTGCGCTTTAGTTTCATTCATTAAAAAATATAATGAGCAGTTACCTGTAAATTTTCACTCTAAATGTTTAAACAAATTGTGAACACCTCTTACATCCATCAAATACTAGTATTAGTGACTTGGCATTTCCTTTGAAAAACCTGCAGAGGGTATTTGTCCATTTCGGACAGTTCTAGTTTAGACAAACCTTAATCATTGAAAAAAAAAATCCAGGGACAGTTTATAAACTTCCAGAAGAAAAGGGCTGGTAGTAACAGTTCAAGGTCACATTTACAAAATTTTAATGGTAAATTTAAAAAAAAATTGCAGCATTGGGTATTTAAGAAATGAATTTAATTTTTGAAAATTCATGAGGACATGAACGCTTTGTGCTGGTATATTTCATAAAGCGAGTTAAACTTTATGATAAATATGCAGGCGTGAAGCGTTGTAGTTCATATACCTCATGAATTCTCAAAAATTGAAATCATATCTTATATTTACATTATTTTTCTGACATTATGTCATCCAACGATCATTTTTGAAACAAAAGAGTTTGCACTATAGTTTTGATGTCAAGTATGGTATTATGACGTCACATTGGAGATATTCATGCTCACTCATGATAGTTCATGAGAATATGGAACTTTTTCTAATTTTCAAAGAATTTTAAGGAAAAATACTTGGAACATCCGGCAAACCTCGGCTGATTCCGTCACCTTCATCAAACCTAGATT